AACCACAAAGCTGATTCTCACCGTACAAAGCCAACCTTGCTAGCAGGGGTGCATATTAAAGCTGCTTCTCTTCGTGTGGTCAGTCTCCTGGACGACCAGACTGAATGCTGAATTATTCACAGCAGTCGGGATTATCCAGCGTTCGGATGCAACAGGAGCGGGAATTATTAACGTGTTGTTGGCGGTTTCCTCATCAGAATCCGACCAGCAAAAATCGTTCACGCTGATTGATGGGACGAAGACTTTTTGCGTCTTTGCGGCACCGAAATCGCCCGCTTTCCGAACCGTTTTGCCTCATATTTAACGTTGCGTTGGCTTTTTTGGACCAATTACGTCCAATTATCCACGCTCACGCCATGTCACAACAAAACTACCCTTTCATCTTTTTTGCTTCTTCACGGCACATCGCACAGATGTTCCGAAAAGACCGGCACTCTCCTGCGTGTATAAATAGCTTAATGGGTAAAATGACGCTAAATTTTCATTTTGCGTACTCGCATCCATCTTTCCAACTGCCACTTACAGATGTTTTCTTATGGCTTTCTGGAAATTTTTGCCAAATTAGGCCGTCGCTTGTACTGGTTGATTAGGGGTTTATAGTCCACCTCAAATGGTTTGAGGCTGCTTTATTTCGCCCTCATCCAGCCGAAATTTATCTCCAACCTCACAGCAGTGAAACAGGGATGTTACCGGGAATAAACACGTGTTGTGGGTATCCCGACCTGAAAGGGGCGGTCAAATCAGTTGTCCTGCGGTATTTCGCAGGATGGGCTTTTTGCCGACGAAACACGACAGCCAAATTGCATTTGCACTATTATTCTCGTCGCGGCAACTGATAAATTCGGCCTCTTCGGCCCCAATTATGGCTTAAATCTGCAGGTTTTCCCTATATTTAGTCAAGTAAGTGTGGGATGGCTTGCGGTTTTGTATGATTTCGTGACGGCTGATTAATGAACACGCATTGCCGTCTTGGGTTTCCGTTGAACGGTAATTAAATGTGCGAAATGAATATTCTGGAGGCGTTTGCTTATGCAAAAAACCCCCCCATTGACTGGCCATCAATTGTGATTTTCCACTTTGTGGAATCCTTTCGAACTTTCCCAAAGTTTTCAGCATGAAGATAAATGCGCGCCTATTTATAGAGGGATTATTAATAGGTGGAGATTTCCCTAATTTATTAAATTTCATAAACAAGCCGTGCCACATTCATTACTCTGACAACGTCTTATGTTGGGATATTAATTTTAATATACATGGCGCGCAGTTGGGATTTGGAAGTTGTCGTTCACCATATGAAGCGAACTGTTCGCTTGCAGCGTCTAAAGTTTTAGTCTAAAATTTCTCTTTGACTGGATCCATCGCTTTGCCCAAACGCTTCAGTGTGAGTGAATTTAATTGGTGGAACTTTGGCTACCTCTCAGATCCGGTGCACATTTAGTCAGTGCACTTGGCGCTTTCGGTCAGTTGGCGTTAGTGTGATTTTGTCCCATTTTTGCTAAAGCTGTAAAGCTTCTTCTGGAAAAGTTGCCACAGTAGAAAACTCGTATTGTTAAACCGTGAAAAAGCCATGCGTAACTCAGAAGAAGACGGTTCAGAACGGATGAGCAATATGCGCATTAGTTTTGGTACATCAAGATGAGGAAATACGGAAATTCAAGAGACTTATGTTACGGGTTGATTCAAGGTACAAAACTTAGAAGCGCTGAATGAAAAAAAATCACAACTCAAAAGGGGGGTTTACTATTGACTTGCAATTTATGGAAAGTTTGCGCAAAACATCACGCTCCGACGGTAATTAATTTGAACACAATGAAGTAAAGGGCTGATTTTTGAGACGCTCCCCAATGAAAAAATTATAACTCAAAAACTGCATAGACTTGTTAGAAACTTACGCAGTTTTTAGATAATGCATCAGGCTGTAAAAGTAGAAAATTTTGCTAAAATCGATTTAGCGCTGATTTTTGGGACACTCGCAAAACTGAAGCTGGAAATTTTTAAAGCGCTGAATGGTGGTGCGACCAATGAAAAAATCATCACTCCAAAACTGTCTCGAATAATTGCTTGAAATTTACACAGCACTTACATAATGCGTAAGGCTGTAAAATTGGAAAATTTCGTTGAAATCGATTCAAGCGCTGATTTTTGGGACACTTGCAAAATTGGTGATGGGAAATTTTGAAAGCGCTGAATGGTGGTGCGACCAATGAAAAAATCATCCCTCAAAAACTGTCTCGAATAATTCCTTGAAATTTACACAGCACTTACATAATGCACCAGGCTGTAAAAGTAGAAAATTTTGTTGAAATCGATTGATGCGCTGATTTTTGGGACACTCGCAAAATTGAAGCTGGAAATTTTGAAAGCGCTGAATGGTGGTGCGACCAATTAAAAAATCACCACTCAAAAACTGTACCGAATAATTGCTTGAAATTTAGACAGCACTTACATAATGCATCAGGCTATAAAATTGGAAAATTTTGCTGAAATCGATTTGAAGCGCTGATTTTTGAGGCACTTGCAAAATTGAAGCTGGAAATTTTGAAACTGTTGAATGGTGGTGCGACCAATGAAAAAATCATCACTCCAAAACTGTAGCGAATAATTGCTTGAACTTTACACAGCACTTACATAATGCATACGGCTGTAAAATTGGAAAATTTTGTTGAAATCGCTTGAAGCGCTGATTTTTGGGACACTCGCAAATCTGAAGCTGGGAAATTTTGAAAGCGCTGAATGGTGGTGCGACCAATGAAAAAATCATCACTCAAAAACTGTCTCGAATAATTGCATGAAATTTAGACAGCACTTACATAATGCACCAGGCTGTAAAAGTAGAAAATTTTGTTGAAATCGATTGTAGCGCTGATTTTTGGGACACTCGCAAAACTGAAGCTGGGAAATTTTGAAAGCGCTGAATGATGGTGCAACCAATGAAAAAATCATCATTCCAAAACTGTAGCGAATAATTGCTTGAATTTTACACAGCACTTACATAATCAGTCAGGCTGTAAAATTGGAAAATTTTGTTGAAATCGATTGAAGCGCTGATTTTTGGGACACTCGCTAATCTCAAGCTGGGAAATTTTGAAAGCGCTGAATGGTGGTGCGAGCAATGAAAAAATAATCACTCAAAAACTGTCTCGAATAATTGCTTGAAATTTACACAGCACTTACATAATCAATTACGCTGTAAAAGTGGAAAATTTTGTTGAAATCGATTGAAGCGCTGATTTTTGGGACACTCGCAAAACTGAAGCTGGAAATTTGGAAAGCGCTGAATGGTGGTGCGACCAATTAAA